CACATGTAATTCTAGCACTTTAGGAGGCCAAGGTAGGTGGATCACGAGGTCAAGAGATCAAGACCATCCTGGCCAACATGGTGAAACCCCATTTCTACTAAATGTACAAATATTAGGTGGGCATGGTGGCATGTGCCTGTAGTCCCAGCTATTCAGGAGGCTGAGGCAGGAGAATCGCTTGAACCCGGGAGGTGGAGGTTGCAGTGAGCTGAGATCATGCCACTGCACTCCAGCCTGGCCACAGAGCAAGACTCTATCTCAAAAAAAAAAAAAAGAAAAGAAAAGAAAAGAAACATTTAGTAAGCATTTCCTGCATTTGTATGCAAAGAGTACAACAGCAATATATTCCACAACATTAAAGCAAAATAATTAAAATTATCCCAGGTAAACTAAATAAGAAGGCTTTCTATGAACAGTGTAATTATTGGAACCAAGCTAATATAGAGTTGCTAGCCAATTCCAATATGTGCCCAGAATTATAATATTGATCCAGATTTTTCACATTACCTATCTCTCTTGTTTCTTCTGAGCTGCAATCAGAGATCACTGGTTGATTCACAAAAATAAGTAGTGCCAGTCTAATTTACGGAAAAAAACTCAAAAACAACTGATGAGACTAGAATTTAATAACAGGCATACCATAGTTTTTGAAACAATTTTTCTCTCTCCAATCTTCTATTTTTACTGAAGACAAATTATGGTAAGACCGATTCAATTCATTATGCTTGGTCTGATTATTTTTATAAAGTACAGAAAGAATAATTATTTTTCTAACAGGTTTTCTTTTTTTTTTGTCTCACTCTGTCACCCAGGCTATAGTGCAGTGGTATGATCACAGCTCACCGTAGTCTTAACCTCCCTGACTCAAGCTGTCTTCCCTCCTCAGCCTCCTGAGTACTACTATTTTTTTTCTCTTCTGGTTGTATATTTTCAATAGTCCATCTTGGAGCATGCTGATTCTTTCTTCTATTTGATCAATTCTGCTGTTGATATCTATTGCATTTTTCATTTCATTTATTATACTTTTAAGCACCAATATTTGTTCAACTTTTAAAATTACTATTTCAATTTCTATTAAATTCCTCTGATAGATTTCTTAATTGATTCTGTGTTTTCCTGAAGTTTGCTGAGCTTCCTGAAACAGCTATTTTGAATTATTTGCCTGAATAATCACATATCTCCATCACTTTAGGGTTAGTCTCTGGTACCTTATTTTGTCCACTTTGTACTGTTATATTTTCCTTGAATGTTCCTGATGCTTGCTGATGTCTGACAGTGTCTTTACGTTGAAGGATTAGGCATTTATTTTTCTTCACAGTCTGGCTTTGTTTGTACCTGCGCTTCTTCAGAAGGCCTTCCAGTAATTCTAGGCTAACTTTGTGTTCCTTCAGACTGTGATCACTACAGTCATCACGGCACTAGAGGACGGTCTAAGCCCAGGCTTGCTGTGAGTCTTGCAAAAAGGTCTAAGATTAATGTGGCTTTTTGGTCCAGATAGACTTGGGGAAGATCTAAGGAGGCTACTAAGGCTGTCTGGGAATGTTGGCCAGGAATTTGAGTTCAGAAGATTGTCCCCAGTGGCCCAGGTGAATGTTCTTCACAGCAGGCATATGTACAAGTGGATGAGTCCCTGACTGCAGTGAAAGTGTCTAGAGTTGAGCTTGGGGTCCTTCAGGATCTGCAGGTGAGCCTGTCTCATTGGCCTAGACAGATGAGTGTCACTCAGCAGGTCCTTGCCCAAGTAGGGGTAGTTCCTTGACTGCAGCAGGAGGGACCGGAGATGAGACAGGGCCCCCTCAGGATCTGCTGTGGAATGAAGGGTAATATGCATGTTACATTGTCTCAGATGGGCATGCATCTCCCAGCAGATCTCTGTACAGATGACATAGTTTCCTGAATGCAACAAGAGAGACTGAAGCTTACAGTGAGTCCGCTTGGTATTTGTTGTGGGACAGATGCTGGAGAGCCTAGTCTCGGCTCAGAGAAGTGTGTGTCACTTGAATAGATAAGATAGTTCATTGACTTCTGCAAGAGGTGCTGGAGCTGAGACTGGACCCGCTTGGGATCTGCTGTGGGAAGGATGCTTAAAATCGTGGTCTCACTGGCTCAGTCAGGTTTCTCCCAGCAGGTCTCAGCACAGATGGGATAATTCCCCAACTACAGTGAGAGAGGCCAAAGCTGAGACTGGGTCCCCTTGGGACCTGCTGTGGGAGAGAGGTTGGCATGCCCATCTGTGAGGCTTAGACTCCCAGGCTGGAGGATATGGGTGAGTCTCCCTCTGGGTCCTTGTGTGAGCATCTCTGAGCTGTAAGGTCAGCTGAGGAAGGATGGAGCAGCACCACAGGATAACTTTCAGGTTCACTGCTGAGACCAGTGTCAGTGGGCAGGTGAGAGCCTTTTTACCAAGGCACTAGTGTGCGCGATTCCTTCTGGACGTCTTGGCAGATCGTTTTGGTTCCAGGCTCAAGAACAAATGGAGCTTTAGCCAAACTCCTTGAGAGACTTGGCCATGAACCCAGAAACAAGCTTGGTGGGGCAGATCAGCCACCTGGGTGTTGGTCTGCATAATCAAAAACAACCCTAGTAAGTCTTAGGCTTCAATAAGATTTCACAAATTCCTACTTGGCTCCTGAGGCTCCTGAAGAGAGACTGTTGACTGTAAATAGGTACAGAATTCTTGTTGCTTGTATTTTTCAGTAGACACGGGGTTTCACCATGTTGGCCAGGCTGGTCTTGAACTTGCTGTGGAGGCATATGAGTGGGTTACCTTCTACTCTGCCATCTTGGTGACATCACCTCAACATGTCCCAATTTTAGGAATGTTAAAGCTGTGGAGAAATACATGTCTTTGACTAGATGAAACTTCCTATTTTTGGTTCCATTCAGACCCCTGACAACATTTAAATCTCATTTATTGTATTTTATTTTTACTCCTAATTATACTGCTTAATATACTTACCTGGTTCTTAAAGCCATAACTCATCAAAAGGAAGAACTTTAGAAGTGCAAAGATTTAAAATTATTTGTGTATTGCTTTACAATTTGAAAATTGCTTTCGCATGTCCAAACTAATTCAACAACCATTTTTTATTTTACCATAAATAGTACCATTTTGGGTACTATTATTATCTCCATACCCACTTTACAGATAAGGAAACCGAGATTCTAAGTGAGGTTAAATGATAAGATGCTGAACATTAATACCTGCATAAATCTTAATTCGAATGTAGCCTTCGTGATGCCAAAATGTCTGCTCTTTCCACTCACTTTTCTACCAATAAGGAGGGAGTGAACACAAGAGAAGGCATTGCCAGCATTAGAGAATGAAGATCAAAGCTACACAACCTCACAGAAATGCAAATGAACAGACAATATGTATATAGAAGAGCTCAAAAGACTACTTTATTAAAAATAAAGCAGCCTAAGGTCATTAAGTGTTGAAGTAAACAATGTTAGGCCCCTGGGTATCTATAGTAGATGTTCATGATGTTGATTTGAGTAACTGAGATGAAGTTAACCAGTACTTATTTTCCTGCTATTTCTTTTTCAATAAGGAAGGAGTTCGGTTTAGAAAGTTCAACATCCCAAGCAGTTAATTTAATAATTATTATTTAGAAAATAATTTTCTTTGGATTTTTTTATATTCAAGATATGAATAAGTTATCACACATGTTACATTGCACTGCAGTAATTGTGACTTTGACAATCTAATGTCTTCATTATTATTTTTCTGATTATAAATGCTTTGTATTTATACGCTTTATAGATTATTTAAAACATGGAGAAAGGTATAAATGAACAGAAAGTAAATGTTGAATTAAAAACTAAAACCAAAATAAAATCTAAACACCTAAAGCTCACCATTGTTAAAATTTGGCATATCCTTCCAGATTCTTTTTTCATGCATTCAGAAATATAACTGATATCATATTAAAAGTATTTAGTATCATGCATTTCTCTACAGACGTAATCATAACCTACATAGTATTCCACTGTAAATAATAATACCTGGTAGTATTTTTAATGGAATAAATTTTATAAAATAATTGTATAGATGATGTTTGACATCTAGAAAGCAGGAGTAAAGACTATTTTCCTATTGTCTTTCTTAAATGAAAATGGAAAAAGTTTAGTACACACTGGGAGCTGCCTGGGTGAACAGTTCCCTGGACGTTTGCTATTTCCTTGTGAAGGCACAGACTGGAGTATGTGAGGGCTGCCCAGGGATTGTGTCCTATGGCATGGTGTCATATACCTCCCTGGTAGACATTCTAATTAGGGAACATGATCCTCCTTTGGTAGAAGGATGCTCTGCTTGTCATACGTTTAAAGCAGGAATAAAAGACTTCCTTTAGAACCAACTTTATGCCAGCTCAGGGTTATAATTATTCAGCACTTTGGGGGAATCTCTTCAAAAGGTTGAATTTGAACAGGCACCACTTGCCTCATCATTTTTAGATGTTTATCTTACATTTTTGAAGTTTTGTTCTTTATATTTGAAATGATTTCAGTATAATTGGACTCAATTGAGAGATTGATGTCTATGAGTTTGATGTTTGAGGCCATGGTAGAACAATTTAGTATTTTACTATTACTTTTTTCTATAAAATTGACTTGAAAACTTCTAAAATCATATTTACTGCATAATTACAACAGTTAATTTGCACTACCCATGAAGTAGAGAGCTGAGGGAAGTGTGAACCTATTGTGAAGGATTAAAATAATGGGGAGCTTGGAGTATGCCTTTTCTGCCTGATGTCTGCTTAAAATAGTCTTTCTCAAAAGCCATTATCTCCAACTCTCTCTGCTGCTGCTTCCATCAGAAGACTCTTCACTATTTAAAAGAGTAATAGTCCTAATAAAAACCTTCATACCCCTTTGTATTTCCTCTAATGCATCTGGTAAACATGTGTAAGCTTAGACAATGTCAGAAGCTTTTTAACGTCTTTTCTATGTTTGAAGATTTCCCTCAATTTTATTGTGTCCTATTCTCAATGCAGAATCCAGAAATTTGTCGTCCCAGCCTTTTTTGGAGCAGGGATAGAGGCATGCGACCTGGATATTCCCAACCAGAAACATCCTTAGAAAACTTTGATTCACAAGAGAGAATTTGAGGAAGTCATCACCCTCATGCACTAGATCAGGTAAGCCTGATGACTGAGGAATATGGCTTTTGGGGAGTGATGTTAGAAATTTTGGCATCCAGCTCGCAGTGCAGCTTCAGTACCTGTCTCCTTTGGCAGAAACAGTGTGGTCTGCATGAGTAGTCCCTGAATCTTGCTGTTGGTTGGACATCTTCCAACCCTGACTCCCAGCTCAGATATGTTTTCAGCAAAGCTGATTTTTTTTTCTGTAAAAAAAAAAATGTGTGGTTTGCAATCCTAAATCCTGAGAAATACACCATATCCCCCTACCCACTATGCAATCCCCCTTTTCCTCTCCAGTGTAAGGCTCTGCTTTATTCTTGTTTATAACTTTCCTCATCTTTATCCAGCATAGTCTTGCATAATTTCTCAGGGCTTACAAGTATATCAACACTGCAATTCTTTTTAGTCAAATCAAATTAAATTATTAAGCACCTCAGGCACCTCTGTAAGGGTTGTTTACTTTTTTTTTATGAACAAAAAGTTTTCTCTTGTACTCTTTGTAAATAATACTTTTTGAAAATTATGTTTTTAAATTCGTGAGCAAAATCATCCTCTCTGTATAATGTGAGCGCAGATTTTTCTGGACGGGACTGGTAGAGGGAAACTGGAACAGAAAGATTAATGTAAAAGGGGAAATCCATATGATTTCATAAACCTAAGTGAAAATAAAAAGTTACAATTTAGATTAAATGCTTCAGTTTAACAGTCACATTTTGTTTGTCCTTATCTAAGTCAATGTGGCATAATGGAAACACAAAAAAATGTGAGATGATTCTATTCAATTCCTTCTTTCCTTAGCTCTGTGATTTTTGATAAATTATGGTTTTTGAAACTTTGCTTTGTTCATTTTCAAAATGAAATTATAACACACTGTCCACCTGAAAAGCTTGTTATGGGGGCAAGAGGGTGAAGGTAGCATTACGATAGTGCTTTGTAACTTGTAGGAAGGATTATAAGCATTGTTATTTCCAGTGCTTACTTTTTTTTTTTCCTGTAGAATACTATTCATCTCTTGAAAATCTTCTAAGTGCTTCAGAGAATTTAGGATTAAAGTAGGGAACATATCATGCTACACATCTCCTTACTTAATATAAACTTGCAATTTTCATGGATATGTATAATTGGGAGACCATTATAGATAAGAAAATATACCAACATCTCATAATTAGTAATAACTCAAATCTAACCTAAATAGCCACCAAAAAGAGAACACTACTATTTTGTTTTTCTTAGAACTGGGAACCAGGGGATGAAATTTTAGGTATAACTAGATTCAGGGACTTAAACACTGTCTTTGACAGCCTTTCTCCTGGACTTTGATTCCTGTTGATTTTCATTTGGTCTCTTTGGGTGTGGGAGCAGAGTTGACTACTGGAAGCTCTAGACTTACACTCATTCAGTTTAGTAAACCCAACAGAAAGTGAGGCTTTTCCTGATAGTGCCAGCAAAATTCCATGCGTTTTCATTGTCCCAGCCTGAGTTGTGTGCCTATCTCTGATCCAAACAGATCAGGGGGGTAGAATATTCTCTTTGGTCACATCCGAATCACATGCCCAAATACAATAGCTGGTGAAGTCAGCAAGTAATTTTTGAAACTTGGTGACTGAGAATGGGTGGGAGGGGAGATTCACAAAGAGAGACTAGGCATAAAAATTATGCCCATGTAATACATTTTGGGAAGGATCTATGGCCAATGTATTAAGAAACTTATGTAAAAAGTACTTTAACTTGCCTGAATGAAGTCTTGTTCTCTATAGTTATCTCTGATTTAGTAATCAGTAACTTAGACACCATCCCTATTATCTCTAGGGCAATAGGCTATTTTTACAGAGTTACTGACCATATAAATCACATTATAGTGCTCATGGTACCATCAATGTGGACAGATGCATAGAGAGTATTTCTAAAGAAATGCTCATAGAAGAGAGAAAAACATTAAAGTGATTGCAAGAAGAAAGCATTGCAGAATGTGGACATGTGTGGCCTACTTTTGTGAATTTTTAATAAAGGGTTTCTGGCATGTAGAACTGCCATGTCTTCATTAGGATAATATGGAGGCTGCTACCAAGTAGGACACATATTCCGTATGACCCAAGGCACCACTGGGAAGAAAGGACTCTGAGTGTATTAGTTTAAAGCATGATGCTCCCTTCCCATAACACACAGTAAAAGCCAAATGCAGGATTTTCTAACATGAAAAACAGATATGCAGAACTGGGCAGAGACCTGATTTTGAATTGGAGCATGTGAATGTTTATCTCAATTTTGCCAAGAACTTGCCATGTATCCTGGGTCACATCCTCTTTCCTGACTTGACCTTTGTTTCTCAGTTCAAAGATTCAATTCAAAGATTTGAACTTGGCCAAGCATGGTGGCCCACACCTGTAATCCCAGGACTTTGGGAGGCTGAGATGGGTGGATCACCTGAGGTCAGGAGTTTGAGACCAGTCTAATAACATGGTTAAACCCTGTCTCTACTAAAAATGCAAAAAAATTAGCCAGGTGAGGTGGCAGGTGCCTGTAATCCCAGATACTTGGGAGGCCAAAGCAGGAGAATCGCTTGAATCTAGGAGGCGGAGTGTGCAGTGAGCTGAGCTCGAGCCACTGCATTCTAGCCTGGGCAACAGAGTGAGACTTGCTCGTCCACCAAAAAAAGGTTTGAACTTGATGATACCAAGAGCCACTTCCTGCCCAATGATTTTATCTTAGTAAAAATTCTATGTTTTGATTCTTTTTGACATATGAATTAATTAATGCAAGTAATACATTTGTGTGGTTCAAAATGTATAACTATCAAAGAAGCACTGTGAATACCTCCCTTCCATTCCCATCTGTATCTACCATGTTCTGTACTAATTTCTACTTTTGCTGATTTTTAAAATATCTTTCCAGAGTTTCCTTATGAAAATTCAAACAAATATAATTTATATCCCACCTCCCATTTCTCTCACAGGAGTTACATGTGCCTTGTATTTTTTTTTTTTTTTTCTTGAAATGGAGTTTTGCTCTTGTTGCCCAGGCTGGAGTGCAATGGTGCGATCTTGGCTCACCGCTACCTCCATCTCCCGTGTTCAAACGATTCTCCTGCCTCAGTCTCCCAGTTAGCAGGGATTACAGGCATGCGCCATATGCCCGGCTAATTTTGTATTTTTAGTAGAGATGGGGTTTCTGCATGTTGGTCAGGCTGGTCTCCAACTCCCGACCTCAGGTGATGTGCCCACCTTGGCCTCCCAAAGTGCTGGGATTACAGACATGAGCCACCATGCCTGGCCAGCATGTGCCTTTTTTTTTTTTTAACTGAATATATCATGGACGTTTTTACATATCACTATGTAAGCCACCCTTCATCCTCTATTTAGCCTCTTGCTAAATACAACAGATACAACAGATCCTCAAATAACATTTTTTTCAACATCATTTTGTTTAGCATTGGTGAGAAAAAAAAATGTTCTAAACAGTGGCCACTGTCTGTCTGGAGTTTGCATGCTGGCATGCTCTACTCATGTCTGCATGGATTTTCTCTGTACTCTACTTTCCTCCCACATCCCAAAGATGTTAGGTTAATTAGTGTGTCTAAATACTCGCAGTCTGGGTGAGTGTACCCTGTGATAGGATGACGTCCGGTCCAAGATTTGTTTCCACCTGGCACCCTGAGCTGCCACGTATTAAGCTCAGCCACTCACAACCCTGAATTGGAATAAGTGGATAAAAAATTATCTTACTTGTTTTTATTAATCTCTTAAAAATACATGTAGAGCTCACATTTATTTCTATGTTTAATATTAGAAGTGTTTGGGTTTTTGTTTAGAACTTTGGTGATGTTTTTGTGACCAGCATGCCATAGGAATTTAACTCTTGCTTGTATGAGTTAGCCTATGAAAAAATTGTTTTTGTTATACATCATTTCATTCAAAGTTGCAGTTTCCAAGAATCTATTGAGGACATTAAGTGAGTATTTTGTTTTTAGAAATAATGCTATGCAAGCAGACATACCTGTAAGACAAATACTAGAGGTGGAAAAGCCAGGTCAAAGACCAAATGCTCTTGTAGTTTACATTTTTCAGGACTGCCTTCTCTAGGGTTCATGCAAATTTATACTCAACCTGAAACATGCACTCCAAAAAATACAAGCAAATTGAATACAGTGACCTATAGAAAGAATTGTACACAGTGACCAAGTGGGATTTATCCCAGGATGGCAAGGTTGGTTTGAACATATGAAAATCAATTAATATAATTCATCATATCAATAGAATAAAAACAAAAATTAAATGATTATCTCAATAAACACAGAAAAAGCATTTGACAAAACCCAACTTCCTTTCATGATAAAGATACTACCAACTGGAAAATAGAAGGGGGCTTCCGCAATCTGATAAAAGTCATCTATGAAAACTCATAGCCAAAATTATATTTAATGGCAAAATGAATGCTTTGTCCTAAAATCAGGACCACCTCAATGCTATCTGCTCTTAGCATGACCATACAGCATTACATTAGTGGTGCTAGCCTTAGCAACTAGACAAGACAAGAAAGGCAACTGGATTATAATGGAAGTGAAACTATCTGTATTAGCAGATAACATAATTTTGTATATAGGAAATCCTAAAAAATTCACTTGAAACCTGTTAGAACTACTAAATTAATTCATCCAGGTTTCAGGATACAAGATCATATATAAAAATAAATTTTACTTCTACACACTTGTAATGAACAATCCCAAACTGAAATTAAAACAATTCCTTTTAGAATCATATCAAAAAGAATAAAATACCTAGAAATAAATTTTAACAAAGAAGTAAACCTTAGACTCTGAAAATTACAAGACATTATTGAGAGAAATTAAAGATCTAAACAAGTGGAAAGCATCTCATGTTTATAGATTGGAAGACTTAATTTACGTTGTTAAGATGGCACTATTCCCCAAACTGATCTACATATTCAATACAATCCCTGTCAGAATCTCAGCTTACTTTATGTAGAAATGGGCAAACTAGTTAGAAAATTCAAGTAGTATCGCATAGACCCAGTACAGCCAAGGTGATCTTGAAAACTAAGAGCAAACAATGACAATTCACCTTTCCTTATTTCATGACTTAATACAAAGCAATGGTAATTAAGATAGTGTGGTACTGGCACAAGGACAGACATATCGCTCAATAAAACAAATGAGAGTCCAAAAATAAGCCCGTATATCTGTGGTCAACTGACTTTCAACAAGGGTTTCAAGAACATGCAATGGGATAAGAATAGACTTTTCAACAAGTGGTGCTTAGACAAGCAGATTTCTACATGCAGAAGAATAAATTTGGACCTCTACTTCATGCCATATACAAAAATTAACTCAAAATATATCAAAGACCCAAATGTAAGAGTTAAAGTTGTAATATTCTTACAGTAAATGATAGGGGTAATCTTTATGACCTGAGACTTGGCAAAAGATTCTTAGACATGACATCAAAAGCATAAGCAACAAGAGAAAAATGGATAAATTTGGTTTCATCAAAATGAAAAACATTTGTGCCTTAAAGGACACTATCATTAAACTGATAAGACAACTCACAGAATGGGAGCAATGATTTGCATATCGCATATCTAATGAAGGACCTGTCCCTAGACTATATAAAGAACTCTTACAACTCAGCAATAAAAAGACAATTAACTCAATTTTAAAATGAGCAAAAATCTGAATTACTATTTCTCCTAAAAAGATATAAAAATATATGCTTATTAGTATATGAAAAGATGTAAGAACCAGCGGGTAGGGCCAGGCATTGGGAGAGCTCCCCACGCAGGACAAGATGGCATCTTCTGCACAGCTGGACTTCAACCTGCAGGCTCTTCTGGAGCAACTCAGCCAGGATGAGTTGAGCAAGTTCAAGTCTCTGATCAGAACAATCTCCCTGGGAAAGGAGCTACAGGCAGTCCCCCAGATGGAGGTAGACAAGGCTAATGGGAAGCAACTGGTAGAAATCTTCACCAGCCACTCCTACAGCTACTGGGCAGGGATGGCAGCCATCCAGGGATTTGAAAAGATGAACGAAACCCATCTGTCTGAGAGAGCTGATGAACGTCGTGTGATGCCCCTACTTTCACCCCTCCGGGATAGTGAGTTGATGGCTGAGCTAGATGTTGCTTTAGCCTTGGTTCTGCCTCTGTTTTACATGCACATGTCACTTAACCTTGTTATATATGAAATATCTATATCACCAGTATATTGAGAGAAATAAAGGTGAAATAATTCACATCCCCCCACTCAAAGGACTTTGATGCAAAAGGGCAGAGAAGAGTGGTAGATAAACAATAAGAGCACATGTGATAAGTGTCTTGAATGAGATATGGAAATAAGGCTAGGGGATTCCAGGGGATGGAAACATTCAAGCCTTCAAGAACGTCAAGCAATTCTGTATCAGTAGTTGGCATTTCAATAGACTTTGAAGGATGGAGAATTTGCCACTCTCGACTAGGGGAAAGGATGCCCAAGTGGAGGAACAGCATGAGCAGAAGTAGGAAAGTAAAGGGCAAGACAGTGAATAGTGACAAATTCAGTTTGATAAGGGTAGCAGTAGAGATTGTAGGGAAGGATTTTGTGCAGCTAAAGGAATGACAGGGGAGATATCTTCACAAAGAATAGTCAGTCTAGAAGTCCTTTTAGGTAGTCCCAAATTTATAACCATAAACAATGGAAGAAGGACAGTACAAAGAAGAGCTCTACATAAGAAAGCATGAAACTGCTTCAGAATTGCTGTGAGGCTTCTTTCCTCTGGAGATGAAATGTCACCGCATTTCTCAGATGACAATAGTATGATACTGCTCCAAAGGGAAAAGAAAAAGTACTGACTCTGACGACCATAATTGTATCTGGCCATTTTCCCTTTATATCATTGGCTGTACTGCAGGCATTCAATATAGACTTAGAGGATGACTGGTCCAAAGACTCACCTATTCATGCTCTTGTCCAGAAAAAAAAAGATAAGATGTCCATAGAGTGAATAAGTAAGAAATAGCCCAACCAATTCAAACATACTAGGGTATAGCCAAATTTCTTAATTTATTACTTGGTTAGCATAAAATGATAAATATTTCAGAAAAATAGAGGCAATAATCTTTCCCAATATATTATTGTTTTGAAATATATGAATAAATAAAACTAACATCTTAAAGTTGGTAGCTTTTTATTTTCAAAGTGGGTTCACATCTATATTCTCACAGCTTAAGAGATTATCAGAGCATGAAATTTTTGCCCTATTTTACAAATGGGGAGACTGAGAATAAGGTATTCCTGATTTTCTGAGAAATAAAAGGCTTTTGAAGTGACCAAAGAGCTAGTGTTAACTCTCCTTTTACAGATGTGGGAACAGAGGCCTGTGGGAGTAGTTGACTTGTCCAAAGACTCAGAACTAGTGACTGATAAAGTTGGGGCTCAAATCCTACATTCTACCTCTTAAACCAGGAAACTTCCCTCTACACCCCACTGTTTCTGAAGAGTAAGTAAGAGCTTTCCTTTTGATCATTGCCTCTATGTGATTCAGCAAATACCCAATTTCTATTTCACAAGAATGTGGTCGAGTCTATTAAACGTCCCGTAGACAGTGAGCATCCGCACAGTTTCTTCCCTCCTGCACTCTCTTAAATGATACATTCCTCACCTGCACAGGGGTGACATTTAAAATAAAGCCAAATAATTTTCTGTTTTTTCAAATGTCAAAGATGATCAGGGATCACATCCAGGCTTGGAGCTACGGTAACTTTTTTTTTTTTTTTTTTTAATGACTGCGCAGTTTAAACACATATGGGTAGATATAATCTCTGGGTTTCTTCTGGTGAGCTGTAAGTTTTGAAATTCACTTAATCCCCTGCTATCTTAGAATCAGTATCATGCACGATATAGGCCAACCAAAATTTTGTGTTTATGGTTATATAAAAAAAATCATGGCAGGTTGTAAGTCAACGAAGGACAGGAACAGTTTGCCACTTCGTAAGCTTTAGATGATCCAGACAATTTAGAAAATTCTTTCCTCAAGGAAAAATAACATTCATTACAGACTGAAAAAAAACAGCTGATGACAGTATTTGTGATACACAAAATATCCTATTTTTAATAGTCATCACATATGGATTGTAATTTGAATACAGAAAAAATATTTTTATAGTTCTACCTTCAAAGAGGATGGTAAAAGTTTTATGCGCAAGTGACTCATAGCTTTTCTTTCCATCCTCATTTTGTGTGATCTTAGGAAAAAAACCCTTCATCTCTATGGTGATTCAGTTGACCATTTTTGATCATGTATTTATAGTTTCTCTGTCAACAAATGCTTTTTTTTAGGGCTTCCTAGATGTTATGATATAAAAATTGTATGGCTACTGGTTAGTTAACAAACACTTGCCTTATAATTTTGGAAGAGAGCAAATTTTCTTTTGTATACTTTTTATTAACATGAATATAGTGGCTCCAAAGGGCTGGACTGGTGCATGGCATTCCCCCAAGTGATGAAGCAGTGCATGGGTAAGTTGTCAGACAGCGCAGTCACCAGTCACCAGAAAATGACTGAAGGCAGCACTCTTTCTTCATATGGGGATTTCCATGTTTCTTCATCAAGCTTGTGTCATGTTTCTACTTAGCTGCATCACAAAATTTTCTTTTGTGGAGAGCATGGGATTTAGCTATGCATTTTATGAAAGCATGTTTATAATTAACTGAGTAACTATACTGCTTAGGAATCACAAGAGGCCATCACTGGACCTGGTTTTGGGCTCTGGCAAATAGCATGGGTAATGAGACAGAGGAGGTGACGGTAGAGAAGTCAGGGTAAGATAAGGGTTTAGCCTGGGCACAGTGGCTCAATGCCTGTAATCCCAGCACTTTGGGAGATAGTGGATCACCTGAGGTCAGGAGTTCAAGACCAGCCTGACCAACATGGTGAAACCCTGTCTCTACTAAAAATACAAAAATTAGCTGGATGTGGTGGTGGGCGCCTATGGTCCCAGCTACTCAGGAGGCTAAGGCAGGAGAATTGCTTGAACCCGGGAGGTAGAGGTTGCAGTGAGGTGAGATTGTGCCACTGCACTCCAGCCTGGGCGAGAGATTGAGATTCAATCTCAAAAAAAAAAAAAGAAAAAAGAAAGGTTTAGTTTCTGATCTTTAGGCATCATCATGGCAACAAGTGACTGATCTTTCTTGCTTTCTTGCCTGTCAGAGACACGGAGTGAGAGAAACTTCTGGGGATCCCTGCTGTGTGTTACAACAGGCTGTTGCTCCTTAACCTGTAGTTCAAGGGTATCACTAGAATAGGTGAATTCCATAAGAAAATGAAAAAGAAGTTTATTAAAGTCTATGAAAGCAAACCTAAGGACTTAATCCCTAAAATGTTCTCATAAGATGGCAGGCAGAGCATAAAATCAAAAGTAAGTCTCCTATTCCACCTCCTCATTGCAGATTCACTGCCAGAAGTGACTTACTTTACCTTCTCTGATTTGCGTTTTTCTGGTGGGCACCTACAGCTACTCACTCCATTGCCCATAAGTTTGAGAAATAAACGTAAGTTTTTCAATTTCTTGATCCATCAGTGTTCAGCAGTAGTAGGTGGTTCCAAAAACAAAAGATGTAGTGTTTGCTCTTGCATAATACAACCTTACTCGCATCTCTCCTTCTCTCCTGTCTCCCAGTTCATAAGAGTTTTATCATTTTAAACATTTTAACATTTCCATGGTTTATAGATTTGAGACCTTTGTTTTGAAAGGTGGAGTCTCGCTCTGTTGCTTAGGCTGGAGTGCAATGGCGTGATCTAGGCTCACTGCCACCTCTGCCTCCTGGGTTCAGGCGATTCTCCTGCATCAGCTTCCCAAGTAGCTGGGACTACAGGCATGTGCCACCATGCCCAGCTAATTTTTGTACTTTTTAGTAGAGACAGGGTTTCACTATGTGTTCGCCAGGCTAGTCCCAAACTCCTGACCTCAGGTGATCCACCCGCCTCGGCCTCCTAAAGTGCTGGGATTACAGGCATGAGCCACTGTGCCCGGCCCAGATTTGATACTTTTGTGCTTTGCTTACAACTTGAAAAAATAAAATTCAGCAGTGTTTACATTATTAGGATAAGGCAAATATTATTCACTGCAGAACCAAGTAGTGAAATTTGATCTGTAGAAAAAAGGAAATGTAATTTACTTAAAACATTACGTTTGAGTCACATTAAAGAGAATTTTCTGCAAGTCAAGAACAAGTGAATTCTCTTTTAGTACAGCCCGTTAATTGTCATTGTAATGCCATATTTTATATCAATTCATATGTAAACCATGAGGGGGTAAGGCTTTCAGATATCTGCCTGGGAAACTGAGGCGTTTGGAGAAAATGTCGAAGAGAAGAGATAAGGAATGAGTGAGGACTGTTTGATCAATGAGGTTTTAATTGTCACAGCAAAGAGGTCTTTCATAAACCTGTTCCTGGCTCTGAGACAGGAAGCAAACAGGTAATAAATAAGACAATTATTTTCAGTGAAACTTCTGTAGGTTAGTTAAGGCATAGGGTATTATTGCTTTGATGATTTGATATACTGCTAACTGAATAAAATATAAAAAGGGTAAGAGAAATAATTACGTAACTCTATCCAGTGAATTTTCCAGGACTTGAACAAAAACATTCAATGATACTGGCTTACAGGGCCTAGTGGAGATGGTGGAGTTAGCGAACATAGTGTACAAGGGTGGCTGGAACTTGGCAGAATGTAGTAGAAACAGCTACTTTATGCAATAGACATGGGGCTCTCAAGAAGCAGATGTGGACCAAGCAAAAGTGGCAGTACCTAGAAAGAGCTATAGCTCTCACTGAAAGCAATTCACACCTGGAAGAAAGTATAGCACCCACTGTACGTTATTGTGCCCAACAGATTTTACTGTCCCTAGAAAAAGAAAATTGGTTTAGAAGATGGGAAGAAGGGGTGGATGTCATATGAAAAATGAGATGGGAAGAAGGGGTGGATGTCATATGAAAGATGAGATGGGAAGAAGGGGTGAAAGTTACATGAAAAAGATGAGCAGCTTTTTCATGAAATTTCCCTGAGGACATAATTAGGAGAGAGAGAGTAGAGGGAAAAAACACTAGTCAAAATTTTGTGTGTAAATAAATATATATATATATATATAGTATTTTGTATAGATCCTTGATAAATGTAAACACTTTAATTTGCAGTTGTATGAAGACATTTTTCTAGAGCAATATTACATTGTGGGAAAAAGTGTGAGATTTTGGTCAGAGGAAGAACTATGTTTGAAAAGCTCTTGCACAAGTCTCTCTAAGATGATCTGAGCCTCACTTTTTCTAACTTGTAAATTGGGAATAAGAAACCCCCTCTTTCTTACTAGGTGTAAGAATGAACTGGAGAGATGTGAAAATCACATGTGAAACCCAATGGGTTATAGGACTATTGGCTTTTCTTCTACAGAATAATCTAATTTTAGAAATACTCTTCTTCGGATACCTGCTCCCCAAAATCTGGAGCTCAGATAAACC